AGAGGCTTGCAGCAATTAAGAAACTTAGTGAGGGTTGCACATCTTTGGAGTCCAGGAACATGAATTCAAACCCGGTTTTCTCCAACTTTAAAACCTAGGCAACACAGACCTTCTACTGACATGGGAAAGTTCTGTGATCCAAACATCTTCACTGACTGTCCTAGGCCGTGACGTGTCCCCAGGAGGCAGTTATGTCTAGACAGGCTGTGTGGGATGGCAACAGGACTCTGGGCCCAGCATTACTTCTGCTCTGGGACAGTGGCTTCTGCTCAGGGGCAGGAAGTCAGAAGCCTTAGGCATGAACAGTGGATAATCTCAGGGACTGTAGAGAGGTTCACCCACCAAGGAGAGAGGAGATCATGATTTAGGGTCATGAAGGGAATGTCACTTCTTTTTTTTTTTTTTTTTTAAATGTTTTATTTATTTCTGAGAGAGAGAGACAGCGTGAGCAGGGGAGAGACAGAGAGAGAGGGAGACACAGAATCTGAAGTAGGCTCCAGGCTCTGCGCTAGCTGTCAGCACAGAGCCCGATGCGGAGCTCGAGCCCACAAACCGTGAGATCATGACCTGAGCCGAAGTCGGACACTTAACCGGCTGAGCCACGCAAGTGCCCCAGGAATGTGACTTCTTGACATGACACGGTGAGGACACCTTAGGCTGTTGGGCCAGAAATAGCTCAATGTGTCAGCTTTATGAGGGCAGGAAGAGTTTACTCTTGTCCACTGCTGTGTCTCCAGGGCCTAACTGTGTGGGTGGCACAGTGGGTAGTCAAGGAATTTTTAAGCAACAAATGAAGAATGAATGAACAAATGAATGAGGAGCCTAAGGGTAGTAGACAATTTAGGTTCAATGTAACATTGAAAAATTCTTAATGAAATTAGTTATCCAGAGACACACACATAAAGAAATGAAGAAAATTTCATTTCTCAGTATTCCTTCCGTGGAAAGTTTTGGTGTGTGTTTGAAAGAATTCTTAATACATGCACAAATAACTAGTGATGACCACTGTGAGGTGTCCAGCCCAGGGAGGGCCAGCATAGGGCTTTAGTGAGCAACCAGAAGAACTAAGTACATAGTTTAGGGAAAGGATTCGGAGTGCAACTGAATTTCTCTGCATTTTAGAGGAAGAAGAAGCAAGGCTGGGAGAAGAGAGAACAGGCCTGGGTCTGGATAGAGGTAGCTGAGGCACGGAAATACAGAAGGGGATTATGAAGTGGTTTTTCTAGGAGTTGTATAGTATAAAACCCACCTATTGTCCCTGAATGTGATTCTGAGTATTCTTTGCAGATTAAAGCATTTGTTTGAGAGAATGGAGGGGAGGTGGTTTTAAAAAGTGCATATTCCCACTTTATGAAGGGCTTTGACTGAAAAGAGAGATGCTCTTGCAGATCCCAGGGGAAAAATAAGGACCTACTTACTCAAAGGTGAACTGTAGCAGCTGATTGAGTGCTTACTTGTTATTACCTCTTTAATCTTCTAAATAGGCAGGTGAGGCCAGTGCTAATATTATTCCTGTCTTGCATATGATGCAACAGAAGCACAAGGAGGTTGAATGATATGCTCCAGGTCTCATGTCCAGAAGTGGTAGAGCCTGGATTTGAATCTCTAGCAGGAAGAAGTATCTAGTGTTGCTTCTATTTCTCTTGCTGCTCTGACCCAGGGCTTAGGAATTTCTGCTTAGCCCTGCATGTAGATATGTCGCAGATTTGCAAAAACTGCTCTTTACCCAAAAGCTATCTTACCCAAAGAGATAAGCAAGTAGCCAGAGTGGCCATTATCCCAATTCCTCAAGACTGAGGTATGGTCATTACTCAAGGGAGAATTGAAACTGTGCCCCACAGAGTTATGAGGTTGAAAGCAGAAAGTTTAAAACTTGTTTTTCAGAGAACTTGTTCCCACCAATCAGCTATTTTGTCTTTTCAGACCCCACTAACAAACCCACTGGCACCTGGGCTCAAGGTTAACTGGTAAGGTTCCAGCCTAGGAACAAAGCAAGGCCCTACATTCCTTAATGAGCCCAAAACTCTATCCAGTTCATACCAGCTCTCGGAGCACGCCCATAGTCCCTTCTCCGTGTCTTAAGATAACCACTTGACATCCGGGACTGAATATTGCCTCGTTCGGATGTTGTCTCCGCCCCAAAGTGAACATGGTATATATATCACATGATATTTCCTCAGTGCGCATGCTCCAACTTTCCACTTGAATAGTTAGAAGTTTCCCCACCCTTTTCATCAATATGTAGGTAATCTCCTACCCTTAATTTCCCCTTTAAAAACCCTATAGTTAGTGGGTTCAAGCCCCACGTCGGGCTTTGCCCTGACAGCTCAGATCCTGGAGCCTACTTTGAATTCTGTGTCTCCCTCTCTCTCTGCCCTCCCCTGCTTGCTCTCCCTCTCCCTCTCTCTCTTTGAAAAATAAACATTAAAAAAAAAAAGATTCTCTCTCTCCCTCTGTCCCTCCCTTGCTTGTGTGCACACGCTGTCTCAAAAAACAAAACCCCTAATGAATACTGTGTACCCCATCTTTAAAAAGACCACATTGCATTTGATTCTCAAGGCATCTATGGTGATAATGAGAGATCATTCTGAAGAAGTGACACCAGATAGAGAGATGCAAACAGTCAAACAAACATACCGAGGAGATACAGCGAGAAACTGACCCAATCACATAGACAAAGTACCAGGAAGTCTCAGCTTGTAGGGAGGCTCTAAGAAGAGATGGATTTTCTCCATTTGCCATCACGTCTCATTTCCATCTTCTCTACCCTCCTCTGAATCCTCATCATCCTCATCCCTCTGTCTCTGGGTCCTGGCTGCTTTCAGCGAAAGGGAGACGCAGACAGGAGCTGGAGGCAAGGAGGAGGGGTTTGTTTGTGACTTTCTGGCTCTCTCTGTCCACCGGGCTGTGGTTTGGCAGTGGAGGTGTTACTCTGCCTGGGGACTTAGCTTCTGTCTGGTGGTCCTTTCCTATGGGCATAGCTACAACTACCCCTATAGCCATAGCCCTCCTGGGTTCTGGTAACTTCTCTTGTCTTTCAAGCCCAGTGATATTAAGGCTCTTGCTATTATTTTCCATTGAGGGTACCAGTCACCATCCCATGTAATTTCCTCTGAATCTGCCCATATTGATAAAGTGTCCCTTAATTAAACTCTTCTGAATTATTCCATTTTAGGCCATCTGTTTTCTGCTGGCATCTTGAGAGATACTGAAAGGAAAATAAATTTCAAAAAGCAAGTAAAACAGATGACTGGGTTATTCACAGCACTTTAGCTTTGGGATGTGTGCGTGTTCCCAATCTTGCTCCCTAAATTAAGGAAGGCAACAGACTTCTCACCACGACAGCACAATCTGAATGGTTGGGATGGAGGCGAGAATGGGACAAGGGTCTAACGAGGGGAACAATGTAGATTTACCAGTTCAGACTTCCACAGTCAAGGCTGCCAGCCCCCAGAGTGGCCAGAAGGTGCTTCATGCTTCCTGTCTTTTCCTGCAGGATCCCCTGTGGCTCACTGAATACCACTCTCCCTGGTCAAGTGCCTGGGTATGCAAGAAGAGAAAAACCCAACAATGGCTCTGGAAAGACTTGATAAAGGTGCCTTTCCTCCGTTCTTTTTGCTGGAGATGACAAGCTGCCCTGTGCTGTCCTGTGATTGACCGTGGCTACAGGACACTTCTTTGCCCTGGAGAGATGCTGGCAGTGGCGGCGGCGGCGATGAAGCCTCGTGCAGGAGCAAGGGTTATCAAGATGCGGGACAGCCCCTGTGATTTCCTGTATGGGAATCTGCTGGCATGTGAGAGTGTGATGTTCTCTGAGTCATGATCCTTCATGAGATGTTTCTTGACTTTTGATCTGACTCTACTCCTCTCTCTCAACCTCTGCTTATTGCCACCCCATCCAGTGCCCATACCTGCAAAGGACTGGTGTTCTGTGGCCTCTGGCTGCCAGCGGTGTGCCTGGGCAGCCATGGGAGCCTGAACTGGGAGTCTTTATAACTAAGAATAAAGATACCCTCCTTACTTGTCATTCAAGGCCCTGCATAACTTGTCCCATGCTTTTTCATTGTGCTAGGAGTAACACATGCAGGTTTACGTTTTCTTTCAAATTGACACAGAAATGTACCGAATAAATAGTAAAAGTCTTCCTGAGTCCTCTTCTCCAGAAGCAATAACTTGTTTCAGTTTTCCTTCTAGACTCTTTTCAGTTATAGATTTGATTTGTAAAGTAACAGGATCAACTGATTCCTTATATAAGATGTAAAGAATTCAGGACATGGCAGAGGATTTGGAATTATAAGCCTGGGAATTAAAATAACTGTGATTAATATGCTAAGGAATCTAGTAGAAAAAGTGGACAATATGCAAGTGCAGATGAACACTCTAAGGAGGAGGAGGAAATGCTAAAAATAAAAACAGTGTAACATAAGTGAAGAATGTCTTTGACTGGACTAGCTATAGCTTTTCAAAGAATCCGTGAGCCTCACAACAAGGATGGAACTAGAGGTATTATGCTAAGCGAATTAAGTCAGTCAGAGAAGGATAAATATCATAAGATCTCACTCATGTGGAATTTAAGAAACAAAACAGATGAACATAAGGGAAGGGAAGGAAAAATATGATAAAAACAGTGAGAGAGGCAAACCATAAGAGACTCTGAAATACAGAGAACAAACTGAGTGTTGTTGGAGGGGGATGGGCTAGATGGGTGAAGGGCATTAAGGAGGGCATTTGTTGGGATGAACACTGGGTGTTATATGTAAGTGATGAATCTCTAAACTCTACTCTTGAAATAAAATAATTAATTACTTAACTAATTTAAAAAACTCCAGAAAGAATCAGTGAGCCCCAAGATAAGTTAATAGGAACTCTCCAAACTGAAAGTTAAAGAGAAAGACTGAAAAATAAAATGGATCAGAATGGCCAAGAGTTGAAGGATGATTATAAAAGAATAGGGCTATCAAAAGAAGAGAGAAAGAACAGAAGATATATATTAAGTAATAATGGCCAAGAATTTATCAGATTATTTGCAGGCACCAAACCACAGATCCAGGTAGCACAGAGAATCCAAACCAAGATAAATAATAATAATAATAATAATAATAATAATAATAATAGCTCTTCCCGTAAGCAGGCTGAGGGGATCTCTGAAAGTGGTTCACTATTCACTTGACCTGGAAAACCCCACAGAGTCATGCAAATCGGGAGGTTCAAATCTTCATGTTCCCTTTAAGAACACATGTGAAACGGCCCAGGCCATCAAGGGTGTGCATATCTGGAAAGCCACCAAGTATCTGAAAGATGTCACTGTGCAGAAGCGGTGTGTGCCCTTCCGACGCTACGAAAGTGGAGTGGGTAGGTGCGCCCAGGCCAGACAGCGGGGCTGGACACAGGGTCAGTGGCACAAAAAGAGTGCTGAAGTTTTATGGCATGTGCTTAAAAATGCAGAGAGTAATGTTGAACTTAAGGGTGTAGATGTAGGTTCTCTGGGCATTGAGCACATCCAGATGGACAAAGACCCCAAGATGCAGTGTAGAACTTACAGGGCTCATGGTCAGATTAACCCACATGTGAGCTCTCCCTGCTCCCCTGAGATGATCCTTACTGAAAAAGAGCACATTGTTCCTAAACCAGAAGAGGAAGTTGCACAAAAGAACAAGATATTGCAGAAGAAACTGAAGAAACAAAAACTTATGGCCCGGGAGTAAATTCTGCATAAAATAAATGCAAATAAAAGAAAAAATGAAAACAACAACAACAATAAACCCCATACCTACATATTCATTTCTGGGGCAGACAAACCACTCTATATGATACTACTACGATAGTGCTTGAACTCTGCATTTGTCAAATCCATTGAGGTACACAGCACAGAGGGAACCCTAAAGTGAACTGTGGACTTCAGTTTATGTGTCAATATTGGTGCATCAATTTTAATAAATGTACCACATTAATGGAAGGTGTTAGTAAAGGAGAAACTGTGGGCGGGGGGAATGGAGATGGGGAGAGAGTAGGCAGAAACCCTCTGTACTTCCTGTGAAATTTTCCCATAAATCTAAAAGTGCTCTATGATGCAAAACTATTTAAAAATAAATAGGCAAGGGGCACCTGGGTGGCTGAGTTGGTTAAGCGTCCAACTTTGGCTCGGGTCATGATCTCACAGTTCGTGGGCTCGGGCCATGCGTCGGGCTCTGTGCTGACAGCTCAGAGCCTGGAGCCTGCTTCAGATTCTGTGTTTCCCTTTCTCTCTGGCCCTCCCCCACTCATGCTCTCTGTCTCTCTGTCTCTCGCTCTCAAAAATAAATAAACATTAAAAAAATTTTTAAAAACGAACAGGCAAACCACCAACAGGATGAATATTTATAACGCACATAACGAAGGAAAGACTCACGCAGCATGTATACAAACTCCCACAAATAAATAACGGAAAAAGGGAAACACTTAATAAAAATGGGCAAAACTTAGACACTTCAAAAAAAAAATAGAAGTAGCCAACAAGCACAGGAAAAGATGCCAATTTGATAAGTCACTTTGGAAATGCAAATTAAAACACGAGGAGCTACCACTTTACACTCATTAGAATGACTAAAATACAAAAGACTGGCAGCGTTTGTGAAGAAGGATCTGGAACAACTGGCGCGTTCAGACATTGCTGGATGGAATGTGCAAGAGCAGAACCACTTGAGGAAAGAGTTTGGCAGTTTCTCAGAGTCAAGCATACATCTTTCTGTGACCCAGCAAATTCGCTTCAGGTTATTTATCCGAGGGAAATAAAAACATATATTCAGAAAAAGACTTGAAGAAGACTGTTCGCAGTAGCTTTATTCAAAATAGCCAGTGATCAAATACTACATAGATATCTATCTGGATGAAAATAAACCGGTGCACTCACACAATGAGCTAGCGCTCATAGGCAATTGCCATGGCCTGGGTAAATCCTTAAAATATTATGCTGAGTGATACAAGATAGGAACTAAAAAGTACATTGAAGGATCCTAAGTATATGAAGCCAAAGGTCAGGTAAAACTAATCTTTGGTGCTAGAAGTAGGAATGAAAATGGCCTCTGGGGCAGGAGGAGTATGTAAGAGGGACATGAGGGACCTTACAGAGGCAATGAAAACGCAAAACGCGTTCTGTTTTGCTTGGGCCTTGAGTCATGCGGGTGTACTGTTGCCAAAGCTCACTGAGCTGTACACTTATGATCTGTGCAATCACTCTTCCTCCAATCGTACCTCAATTTTAAAAACCTAAAAATTATTTAAAAGATGCAGCATTTGAACCTATTATTTTTATGGAACGTGTAACTTTAGAAGTACTTATCTGCAGTCAGATGAATGCAACTAATGTTGTGAGCTCTGTGGAATAAAAAGTAAATCTGGCACAGATTCTGTCTGCAGAGAACACAGTCTAGTGTCCTAGACATTTTGCCATGAAGGACCAGAGAGCTCCAGGAAGGGAGAACCAGGGCGAGAGCTCTTTGGTAGGGGTGTGTGTGGGGGGGGTGCAGGGATGAGAAGGGACACACATGGGCTTCTACCGGAGGGTATGGGAAAGGAAATCATAGCAAGATGACCTACCTCAAACCTTAAGCACATTTCAAGGTTGATTTGTCCAGTTATAAAACTTAACTTTGCTTGTACAAACTGAAAATGGTGAAGAAAAATCACGGATGGTGACTCGATTCTGGTGAATGGATGTTTAGCACAGGCTTGGTTTAAAAATTCATCATTTATTCATTCGTTAAGTCTTGGGTTCAATAAACATTCATTAAGGTAGGGACATATTCTAGGGGCTGCTAAAATCAAAGAAGATTGACCTTGGGGGCTAGGCTGCTCTTTAATTCTTTCCATTTTTATGGGGACAGGCTGCAGGATGCTGACCACAGAAACTTGTCATGGAATGTTCTTTCAGTCCCTCCCAAGTGCAGTGACCAAAGAAATTTAGACTGATCCTGCACTGCTTTCAGCCTGTGCTGAAAAGGAGGATCTTCAAAAGTGGACCCCAGAGTTGGGAAAGCTTGGGATGGTGTGAAGGCCCTCGGGAAGGCAGTCCTCAAGCCGCGTGCTCAGTGTTTGTTTGCAGGTACTGTCTCAGTCCTCACGAGGCAAGATATTATCTTAACCATCAGGTTTATCTTGCAACTTTAAGGTTTTAAGATCAGGGGCCCTGAGGCTGAGAGAAGTCAAGAAAACCTCCCAAACTGATAGGGACAAGGTTGGTTCTCAAAGCCACATTTGTCTGACTGAGGCAGACTCCGAATCAGAATGCCAGACTGCTTCTCGACATCTCCAGAGTTTCCTGAGGAAGTCTGTCTTCATTTTCATCCCCCACTGATACGTCTTCCAGAGCCCTCTGGAGAACCATCTTGAGGGTCTTTCGCTGCCGGGGCCACCGCTGCCTGAAGGAGCCAGCGAAGAAGTAAATGATGGGGTTGACACAGCTGTTGACACAGGACAGGGCAATTGCAGCCAGATAAAGATGCAAGAGGGGCATATTAAGATGGTCCTGAATCCAGAATAAGAGGAACACGTGAATGCCATAGGGAAGGCCGCAGAAGAGGAAGGCCAGCACCGTGAGCGCCACAGTCACATACAGCCGGGTCAGCCGCATCCGCTGGGAGCCACACAGCAATCTGGTCAGCAGGGCCAGGCTGGACCCAGAGAGAAGCACAAATAAGAAAATCAGCCAGGCGACGGCGATGAAATCGAATGCCTGACACAAACCAGAGTCAAAATCCCGAAACAGGTAGCCACAGTACTCCCCTTCCAGGATGCTCAGCAGCAGGGATAGGGCCCAGAGCAGGCCGCACATCACAGTTGACGTGTGTTTTGGGCGGTGGCAGCGGTACCAGATGGGACAAAGGACCGACAGGCAGCGCTCAGTGCTAATGGCACTGAGAATGCTCAGGCTCGCTATGTAGGAGAAGGTCCACATGGTGGTGAAAAAGTGGGGAATGGTAAAGGGTACGAAGTGGACGTTGATGAGTGCCTCCAGGTCATATGTGATATGGGAGGAGAGGAAGAGGAAGTCAGCTCCAGCCAGGTTGAGGATGTAGACGGAGAAAGCAGTCCTCTGTATGCGGAAGCCCAGGAGCCAGAGCACAGTCACGTTTCCTACCAGCCCGCCCAAGGCGAATGCGACAGTCCCCAAAGTCACGATCAGGATTTCCACGTACAAACTTCCATTCTCTGGTGTAAGTGTGCTCTCCCAGGCTGGGGCAGTGGAGTCGATGCTCAGAAACCCTTCACTGGTATTCCTAGGAACACAAGCAAGACTTGAGCACCCGCTGTATGCGCACTGATTCTCAGGGCCACCCTGCTACGTGAGGATTGCTGTCTCCATGTTACAGAGAAGAGAGATGGAGCCTTGCAGAAATTATACTTCCTGCAGTCCACGTCGCTTTGAAGTTCTAGAACCTGGATTCAGACCAGTTCCCTCTAACTATGAAGTCTGGGCTCTCTCTACCACAACATGGACCCTCGACTGACATGGGAATATTCTATGGCTGAAATACCTCCACTCAACCTCCCAGACCATGCCGTGTCTGGACGAGGCAAGAATTGAAAAGTCTGGACAGGTTATATGTGATGACAACAGGACTCTGAGCTTGACATTCCTGCCCGGGACAGATTTTCTCTTAAGACCAGGAAGTTGGAAGACTCAGGCATAACCTGTGGACAATCTCAGTGACTGAGAGTGATTCATCCACTGGAAAGGAGAATGTGATTTAGGGTCATGAAGGGAATGTGACCTTTTTCTATGGCAGGTATGAGTATGGCCAAGCCTTTGGCCAGAAATGGCCCAGTGTGTCAGCTTTATGAGGACAGAAAATGCTTTCCCCCTGTCCATTAGTGTGTCCCCAGTGCCCAGCTCTGCTGCGGGGAACACAGTGCAGGTCACTCTTTCAATGGATTTCTTTCTAGAGCAGCCAAAATCATAAACTTAAAATGCTTACAAGTACCTGTGTACTCCTATCTTTAAAAAAACAAAACAAAAAATCCCCACAAAACTGAAATCGATTAAGGCATCTATGGTGATAATGAGAGATTATTCTGAAGAAGTGACACCAGATAGAGAGATGCAAACAAACAAACATACTGAGGAGATACAGTGAGAAACTGACCCAATCACATAGACAAAGTCCCAGGAAGTCTCAGCTTGTAGGGAGGCTCTAAGAAGAGATGGATTTTCTCCATTTGCCATCACGTCTCATTTCCATCTTCTCTACCCTCCTCTGAATCCTCATCATCCTCATCCCTCTGTCTCTGGGTCCTGGCTGCTTTCAGCGAAAGGGAGACGCAGACAGGAGCTGGAGGCCAGGAGGAGGGTCACCGGGGTTTGTTTGTGACTTTCTGGCTCTCTCTGTCCACCGGGCTGTGGTTTGGCAGTGGAGGTGTTACTCTGCCTGGGGACTTAGCTTCTGTCTGGTGGTCCTTTCCTATGGGCATAGCTACAACTACCCCTATAGCCATAGCCCTCCTGGGTTCTGGTAACTTCTTCCCATTTCCCTTCAGGCCTCATCTCTGGGGGCTTCAGTCAGCATCCTTTATAGATTTTCCTTATCTCTGCCCATACCTGTGTAACCTTTCATTAAACTCTCCTCAAGTACCCTACATTTTCTGCTGGGATAATGCCAGATACAAGGATACCAAAAAAACTCCAAAAACCAAAACCAAACCAAACCAAAACAGAAAACCCCCCCAAAAAAACACCCCACCTTTGAATAGCAAGCAGATCTGTGAAAGCTGACCTTATTAAAACAATTTATTTAGCTTTGGAATATCAGGCCAGCATATCATCTTGCTCCCTAAATGAAAAGTAGCAAAATAGACCTCTCCATAGTTGCGGATTTGAATGTTTGGAGAGAAAGAGAGAGTATAGGGAGATAGGAAAGAAGCAAAAAGAACGCGGTGGGTCCTGTTTGGCTCTCTCACAGTCCAAGTTACCAGCACCCAAAGCGCCCCTGAGGAAGCTTCACGCCTCCTGATTTGCCATGGGGTGCCCTTGGCTTCCAGCACGTCCTACCTTAACATGAATTCACGAGCACGTAGACTAAGAGGAAGAAAACAAAATGGCCTTTGAAATAAGATAGTTCTTGCGCAAACTCTTGAGCAAACTCTTACCTGAGCACCATTCTTCTTGCTGGAAGCAGAGAATGGAAAGGGAAGAGCCTTCCTGAGATTGTCAAACCGTAGCAATTGTTTCTCTACCCTCTGGATGGGAAGGTGTCTGCAGTAGCAGGAGTGAGTTTCGGTGATGGCCTGAGGCTTATCAAGATGCTGGATGATAGCCCCTGTGATTTCCTGCCTAAAGGGCAGTGACAAATGAGATCCTGGAGATTTGTCAAAGAAGAAACTGTCAAAGAAGATGTTTCTCATTTGCCCTGACTCCAATCGCTTATCTCAGCCTGTCCCCATCCTACCCCATCTGGTTCCCCACCCTGTGAGGAATGGCTCTCCTGGAGCCTTTTGCTGCCTTCTGTGAGCCTGGGCAGTAAACCATCCACCAAAGCAGTGTGAGCTTTTGTAGCTAAAGAATTGTTTGCTTGGCATTCAAGGCCCTGCATGGCTTGGCTCACTTGATCTTTTTAGAGTGTATTTATTTATAATTTCCACCCCCGATGTGGGGCTCAAATCACAACCCCAAGATCAAGAGTTGCATGCTCTACCAGCTGAAGCAGCCAGGCTCCTCTTGATCTTTTCAAATTTAGTCACAGAAGAAATGTATGCACATTAATTTTATTTCAAATGACACTGGGGTGTATACAGTGAAAAATGAAGTCTCCTAATTGCATTCCTCAGTAGCAACCAGTGTGTATAGTTTCCATTCTTCTTCTTCTTCTTCTTCTTCTTCTTCTTCTTCTTCTTCTTCTTCTTCTTCTTCTTCTTCTTCTTCTTCTCCCTCTCCTTCTCCTTCTCCTTCTCCTTCTTCTTCTCTAGAAAGAGAGAGTGTGCCAGCAGGGGAGGGGCAGAAAGAGAGGGAGAGAGGATCTGAAGCGGACTCTGTACTCAGCATGGAGCCCGAAGTGGGGCTCTATCTCAAAATCCTGAGATCATGACTTGATGATCTGAGCCAAAATTAAGAGTTGAACACTTAACCAACTGTGCTACCCAGGTGTCCCTCCAGTTTCCATTCTTAATTCTTTTAGATGTTACAGTTATAGCTTTGTATAATGAAACTACATTTCTGCTTTTGATTTGTCAATACCAACAACAGGGTGTATAGAGTTCCCTTTATAAAAGGTAAGGAATTGGGGCGCCTGGCTGGCTCAGTTGGTTAAGCGTCTAACTTCAGCTCAGGTCATGATCTTATGGTTCGTGGGTTCGAGCCCCGCGTCAGGCTCTGTGGTGACAGCTAGCTCAGAGCCTGGAGCCTGCTTCAGAATCTGTATCTCCCTCTCTCTCTGACCCGCCCCTGCTCACGCTGTCTCTCTCTCTCTTAGAAATAAATAAATAAATAACATTAAAAAAAAGATTTAAAAAATAAGGAATTTAGCACACTGCACATATTATCACCATCCTCCCTCTACAGCATATTTGTTACCTAGATTATTTTCAGATCATCTAGAGCCTTAGCTCTTATGGCTTCCTTTTTCATGTGCCCATGCCACAGCCAAATTGAGTTTCTGGCCATCCTCTTTAAAAACTTAACCGTGAAGCATTTAAAACAGTCAGAAAAATTTATTTACTCAGTTATTCATTTACCCAAAACTATAGGTTTGTTGTGAAGAATAATGGATTAATTATGTAACAATTTAGGGTAGGGGCTCACAGGGGCGTGTGGGTGGCTCAGTCGGTTCAGCGTCTGATATCAGTTCAGGTCATGATCTTATGGCTTGTGAGTTTGAGCCCCGCGTTGGGGGTCTGTGCTGACAGCTCAAAGCCTGGGGCCTGCTTTGGATTTCTGTGTCCCTCTCTCACTCCACCCCTCCCTGGTTGATGCTCCGTCACTCTCTCTCTCTCTCAAGAATAAATAAAACATTAAAAAAAATTAGAATAGGGCCTCATAGTAAGTACTATATATTTGCTAATTCCTATGATTTTTATTACTATCTCTTTCTGGAAGTCTAATTCAATACATATTACAGTTTCTTTTTTCTACTTTTCCACATCACTTAAGTTCTTTTTTATTTTCCATCTCTTTGTGTCCTAAGCAACTTTCTAGATAATTTCTACAGATGCATCTTCTAGGTTACTAGTCTTTTTTCCCACTGTGTCTAATCTTCTGTTTAATTCATTCACTGAATATTAAATTAGCTTTTTATGGCATTACTTTCTAGAAGCTTTGGTTGAGATTTTGTTTTTAAATTTTCCTGGTCATTTCTTCATCTCTTGATGCTGGCTCGCATTGTCAATTCCCTCTTTTACATCTCTAACCTTATTAGCCATGGGGATATTATGCTTCCCTGATAATTCCAGTGCTGCAGTCTATGTATGTCTGATTTTACTGCCTATTATTTCTTCTATCATTTTCATATGGTGTCTATTTCTTTCTGTATTTGTTATTTTTGACTATGAACTGTTCACTTCCTTGGGTCTTTATCTGTAGGAGTTCTTTGAGGCCTGAATTATAGCTAAGTTCCTCCAGAGAGGTCTTGTGTTTTATTTTGCTAGTTGACTGGGAGACCTTCCCAGCATGGCTTTCATCTTTTGGGATGTCCCCAAAAAACTCCTCTGTCATTTGAAGTTTCAGGACCACAACGTGATACTGACTGTAGCTACAAAATTCTCAAGACAGAGAATTTTTCTTCTCTCTCTCTCTCTCTCTCTCTCTCTTTATAGTTTATTTTCAAGTTGGTTTACATATAATACCCAGTGCTCATCCCAACAAGTGCCCTTCTCCATGCCCATCACCCCCCTTCCCCTCTCCCCTACCTGTACTCAGCCCTCAGTTTGTTCCCAGCATTCAAGAGTCTCTCATGGTTTGCCTCCCTCCCTCTCCCCAACTATTTTTCCCCTTCTTCTCCCGCTTCATCCTCTGTTAACGTCTTCCTAATCCACCTATATGTGCAAACATATGGTATTTGTCCTTCTCTGCCTGACTTATTTCACTCAGCATAACACCCTTGAGTTCTATCCATGTTGCTACACATGGCCAGATTTCATTCTTTCTCATTGCCATGTAGTATTCCATTGTATAAATATACCACATCTTCTTGATCCATTCATCAGTTGATGGCTACTTAGGTTCTTTTCATGTTTTGGCTATTGTTGAGAGTGCTGCTATGAACATTGGGGTACATGTGCTCCTATGCATCAGCACTTCTGTGTCCCTTGGGTAAATTCCTAGCAGTGCTACTGCTGGGTCATAGGGGAGTTCTGTTGTTAATTTTTTGAGGAATCTCCATACTGTTTTCTAGAGGGGAAAAACATTCCATGTTCATGGGTCAGAAGAATAAATATTGTTAAAGTGTCATTACTACCCAAAGCAATCTACACATTCAATGCAATCCCAATCAGAATTGGACCAGCATTCTCCTCAAAACTAGAACAAACTATCCTAAAATTTGTATGGAACAACAAAAGACCCAGAATAGCCAACATAATATTGAAGAAGAAAACCAAAACGGGAGGCATCACCATCCCAGACGTTAGCCTCTACTACAAAGCTGTCATCATCAAGACAGTATGGTATTGGCACAAAAACAGACACATAGACCCATGGAATAGAATAGAGAACTCAGAATTGGACCTACAAATGTATGGCCAACTAATCTTTGACAAAGCGGGAAAGAGCATCCAATGGAAAAAGACAGCCTCTTTAACAGATGGTGCTGGGAGAACTGGACAGCAACATGCAGAAGAATGAAACTAGATCATTTCCTCACACTGTACACAAAAATAAACTCAAAATGGATAAAGGACCTGAATGTGAGACAGGAAACCATCAAAGCCCTAGAGGACCAAGAAGGAAACAACCTCCTTGACCTCCACCACAGCAATTTCTTACTTGATACCTCCCCAAAGGCAAGGGCATCAAGAGCAAAAATGAACTACTGGGACCTCATCAAGATAAAAAGCCTCTGCACGGCAAAGGAAACAATCCATAAAACTAATAGGCAACTGACGGAATGGGAAAAGATAGTTGCAAATGACATATCAGATAAAGGGCTAGTATCCAAAATCGATAAGGAACTCACCAAACTCCACACTCAAGAAACAAAAAATCCAGTGAAGAAATGGGCAGAAGATGTGAACAGACACTTCTCCAAAGAGGACATCCAGATGGCCAACGGACACATGAAACGATGCTCAGCATCCCTCCTCACCAGGGAAATACAAATCAAAACCACACTGAGATACCACCTCACGCCAGTCAGAGTGGCTAAAATGAACAGATCAGGAGACTCTAGATGCTGGCGAGGATGTGGAGAAACGGGCACCCTCCTACACTGCTAGTGGGAATGTAAGCTGGTGCAACCCCTCTGAGAATTTTTCTTCTCAAAAGAGAAGCCAAACTTGATCAAGCAACTTCTTGGTGGTTTTAGTTCTCACTACGAGAAATACACTGAAGGTTTAGTCTTTGGAGGTCCCAGTGTTTCATGGGGCTCTTCTTTTAGGTTTCTGACCTTTGGGTTGTCCTAAAACTCTATCTTCTAGAAGCCATACTAGGAAATATGAATCTCCTTCTGAGAACAAAGGGGATCCATATAAGGAATTTAAGCAAGGAATTAACTTTATCAGCTCTGTGCTTCAGAAAAGTCCCGCAGGCTGCAGAGAGAATATTTAGAATACAAATGAAAATATAAATCTCTAGCCATATTTCTACAAGAAAAACAACTGCATGATGTTTTGATATATGTGCACGAAACATCCAACTATTATATATTTCATAATATATAGTGTATTTCCGATTTGATCATTATTAATTGTGGCACTGTTTGGTCTCAGTTCCTTATCTGTAAAATGAGATGCAGGTGTGATGAAAATAAAACTAAGAAACCCCTGGTGCCCGTGGAGGCCTCTATCCCTCATGTGCCCTCCCCCTACCCCCTTGGATCTGTTCTGTACCAAAGAGAGTGGAGACCTCAGATAGGGCTCTCTCCAAGGTCAGATATGATCCCAAAGTGATTCTCATCTGTCAGGTCCTTAATGGCTCCCAGAGACTCCACTTTTCATCACTGTGATAAACTCATCAGTCTAGGCCCCCCCTCCCTGGCCCCTAACCTCATGTTATGAATTCTTTTCATTAGAGTTGAGGACGTAGAGCAATGTCATTTAGAAAGCCCCTATAAAGAACAATTTCACTGTAAAGTGTGGGGGGTGTGTGTGTGTGTGTGAGGGTGTGTGAGTATGTGTGTGTAGCTAATTTCACTGTGGGAACTTGCACAGTTATATTTTGGGGGTGTGTGGCCCATCCCTGTACCTGAGCCGCTTCTCATTCTGCTCCATGGGGCATCACCAGCAGCTGAAAGCCAGGCAGATGCCATGAAAACAAGGCAGGGGAGGGGAGGGGAGGGGACGTTCTGATGATATCATCTGAACTCTGAATCCCGCCATGCCTCGAGCCAGAGTCTCTTGCTGAATCTCAGTTGTTGGCACCAATAATGTCTAATTTTTGCTAAAACTAATTTAATTTGGGTCTATCTTTTGCTCACACAGCCACAAATATGTCCCTATTTGTGATCACATAGTACTTTAAGCATCCGAGGACATATTTCTTTCCTATTGCACTGGGAGTGCTTTGAGAATAATGAGCACATCTTTGACTCTCGGTGCCTGGGACACTGCCTGATCCCAATGCTCAGCAAATATTTTTAAAGCATACGCATTTGTGTCTGCAAGCGTGAGTGAAGTAGCGACTGAGCAAATCACTTCAAAATGCGAGGACTGGGGAGCCGGTGTAGGCAGGGGACTTTAGTCTAATTGTAAGAAACACCTGCCAAGGGAAGAGCAAACCGAAATGGAGGCAAAGGACAGGTGACAGGGTACAGCCTCCTTTAAAGTTTTCACGTTTAAGAAGCACAGTCCATGTGGGAAATGGAACTCTTCTGTAGTTGACTTAGGTTTGTTTCTCAATTACTGTGCAATTTGGGAGTCTGCGTTTTGAGGGGATGGGGGAGCAGGCCGTGGTGACACAGAGTCACCGCCATGTCCAGGAACACGGGAGCAGAATAAGCTGGGGTTGGAGCCAGGACAGAAAAGCCACTGGGCTGCAGGATCCTTTCTATAAAAAACTCCGCTGGAGAGCGGGCCTCGCCAGTCTCTTGTCTCTTCTTGACCCGGGCCGGAAGACTATGGCTGTATAATCAGAACGATGGTTGATGCATAGTGGCCCCGCCATGGGGTGCTGGGGGAAAAATGGATCAAAGTTGGCCTGAACTGGCTGGATGGAGGAAAGAGCAGTCACAAGGCTTCAGAGAAGGAAAGAGAAGTCAATCTGAGGAGAGGCGAGGAGGGCACGAAGCAGGAGACTCCCTTGTGAGAGCGCTGTGCCTTTCTCATCCAGTTATGGTTGTTTACAGTCCTTGCAGAGGAAATCACATGGCTTCTCAGTCTCTTGATAACACCAAATAAAGCAGCAACTTCTACAGGGCTCTCCCTAGCCGGAAGACTAGAAGTTCATTTCAGAGCTGGGGCTCTAGGAAGGACCTCCTGCTTCAAGGCAGCGCTGAGCTGACTTTTTAAAAAATGTTCATTTATTTATTTGTGTGTGTGTGTGTGTGTGTGTGTGTGTGTGTAGCACACATAAGCAAGGGAGGGGCAGAGAGAGAGAAAGAGAGAGAGAGAATCCCACGCAGGCTTGGGAGGTCAGAACCCAATTCACGGCTCTATCCCACGAACCCATGAGATCACGACCTGAGCCAGGACACTTAACTGACTGAACCACCCAGGAGCCCCTGAGCTGACTTTCTACTGTCCTAGAAGAGAAGGAAAGTAAAGGCTTATTGAATTCTCGTCTTCCCTTTCCTTTGCATATCAGGTCAAACTGCTCTTGCTCAGTCAAGGGCTAGTTCCTCAGAAAGAAAGAGGATCATGGAGATGGGAGTTCTAGGGCTTCTAGAAGCTGTGTGGTCAGGTCCTGCAATCAGGTCCAACTGACTGGAGATAGCCAGCTTCTTTCTACATCTGGTCCTTTGTTCCTTCAGATCTGCCGTCAGAGAACATAAAACACGGGCCTGGGGAATTTCTAGGAAATGAAAAAGTTGGGTCAAGCAATGCTTTAGTCTTCCTAGTTGATATTTCTTTTTTCTCTAAGGCTCACTAAAGTTCATTCAATAAACGTTTATTGCGTTTATTGAATGTCTACTTTGTACCAGGCACTGTTGTAGGCACTGAGGATAAGCATTGAACATCACAAAAATCTGACGAAGGGATAGAAATGTGACATTCCACATGGCACCACTAGGTGGCAGTCAATGATTATTGTGGGGATCATATAACCCTTGGCTAGCCTGCAGGGGGCCCAGTAAGTGAAGTTTGGGAAGAGGTCCAACTTAAAGTGGGATAGCCAAGGGGAGCCATGTTCTCTCTGGAAGGTTATTCATGGGTGGCAGTGTAGGGCAGTGTCGAGGAAAGCAAACTCTGGAATGGTCATTCCTGGTCTCGAATCCTGGTCCTAACAGTCATTATGAATTAACCTTACTAACAGTTAAGTTGTTAGTAAGTTAACTTACTTTAAGTTGTTTAATCTCACTAACCCTCAGTTACCTCAGTGGAATGGTGATATCCCCCTACAGAGTGGGCCTGAGGTACTCAAAGGCTCCAGTGAGTACTTAGCACATGGGAAAAGCTCTTTGTCAAGAACGTGCACATGATGGTCATCCCTTTCATCAGGCCATTCCATCCCTGGAATCCCACAAGGCCTCTGAAACTTGGTCCTGACCTCCAAGTCCCCCAGGTAGCAGGGTCTGCAGCTACTCAGCACACATCGGCCATCGAGAGTCCCTGGGGTCAGAGCAGTGGCCTGGCCCTGGCCCTGCTGCCTGCTGCCGTGTGACGGAGGGTGAGCCCCGGGCTTCCACTCTTATCGCTGCTCCTCTATTAGAATAAATACCTCGTGTAAACACGGGCTATAGACTGTAAAGCCCTATAAAGACATAAGGGCTCATTATGGCCACTATAACTCTCTTAACTCTCACAGGAACATTTGTTGGGGAGCAAAAAGGGCCTCTCACTGCTCTCGCTTTAGTTTCCAACAGAGAGCAGCTCCTCCACACGTCTTTCTGGCTTCAGGGAGCCCCAGTGACCTCCACGTCACCCTCTTCGTCCTTGATTCCTTAGGGCCTGGCTGCTACCTGGCAAGGCCTGCCTGTCTGGTTTCCTCCAGCTTCTGCTGTCAGTGTCTGCACAGGGCAGAGTGGGGAGAGGGAAGTGGGATTTAGCCAGGGAGGAGCTGGCCTGGGAGGGTGTGTGTGAAGGCTGTGGTGGTGGGTTGGGCACCCAGGAGGAGGACAGAGGTCTGGTCCCAGACGGGGGTTCAGTTTCAGCTGAGGGCTGGCTTGGCCTCAGGCCCTGTCATGGTTGCTGGACAGAGCCGACCCTGGGGCCTGGGAGCTGACAGGTCTCCTTATGAAACCAGCTCCTTGCATGAGGCTGGACTTTAGAAAACTAGTGCTGAGGGGCGCCTGGGTGGCTTAGTCGGTTAAGCGTCCGACTTTCGCTTGGGTCATGATCTCGCGGTTCGTGGGTTCGAGCCCCGCGTCGGGCTCTGTGCTGACTGCCAGCTCAGAGCCTGGAGCCTGTTTCAGAGTCTGTCACTCCCTCTCTCTCTGACCTTCTCCTGTTCACGCTGTCTCTCTCTCTCTCTCTCTCTCCTAGAAATAAATAAAACATTAAAAAAAAAATTTAGAAAACTAGTGCTGAGATGCTGGGCACCTGCCCGTTTACAGATAACTGCGCAGTGTAGACTTGCACTGTGGGAGAATGGAATGGAAGGGGCGAGAGCAAAATGTGTTCTAGGATACAAGGATCTCGCTGTATCTGACACTATATCTCACATGCCTTTCAAATGCTAAACTGCCCCTGCCTCTAAGCCTCTGTGCACAAAGGCCCCTTCTCTGCCTCCTGGAACCCCTCTGACCTTTTGGCCTGCTCAAGTTCCCTTTTCAGAATACATGCCAGTTCACAGGGGGCACTTTCCTGGGCTGAATTCACACCCCCTGTGCTCTGCCCTAGCGGGTTGACACAGCACAAGCTGCTCTATGCCGATGATAACGAGTGTGTCCTCCAGGTTGGAATCTCTCTGAGAGCAGAGCTTATGTTATTCATTCGTTGGTTCATTCATCCATTTGTTCAGCAGTAATCATGGAGCACCCATTGCCTGGCAGACCCTGTCTTGGGTGCCAGAATTGGCCCAGGGAGCCAGGCTTGAAATTCAGGTCCTGACTCCGGGCCCAGACCTCCTCCTCCCTGCTCACCTCATCTGGAGCTCAGCCCCCTTGTCATGCTGTAGGGAAGCAGTGCTCAGGCCCCCCTCCTCTCAGAGCCCTGACAGGTGACCCCCTGTGGCTTCTGAGGGCACCTCGCTCCCACCTCCCTCTTCTTCCTGGACAGTGTCAGTCAGGTAACAGTAGAAACGTGCCCTTTTCTTAGTCACCTCTGCAGCCTCACATGGTGGCCCCAGGTATCGGGTGCCACTTTGGTGGGTCAGGCCTGGTCAGCCACTCCTGGCCACGTGACCTCAGGCGAATTCTCCAGCCTTTCTTAGTTCCCTCATGTCTAAACAGGAGGTAGTAAGAATACCTTCTCTCTGAGGTGTTGTGAGTTCTCTGAGATTCTGGGCCTTCAGTAAATGGCAATTCTTGTCCTTCCTGTCCCACTTCTCCCACCCCTCAGGCCTGAGGGCCGATGTCAACTCCCATCCATGGCAAGTCAGGCTCCAAATCAGCAGATGCAGCACTAAGAAGCCCAGGCTTCCTCTTCAAGCACCCAGCCCTCGGTTAGAGTAAGAATAAAGATGAAGTAATAGTGAGTTATAATAATAGCAATGCCTATTTTTTAAAAAATAATTCTTACTCTGTGCCAGGCACTGCTATATGTCCTTTACACTTACTGACTCGTATGATCCTCGCTACCATATGAAGTGAGTGCCATCACCATCCCCCCTTTCTAGACAGTGAACCTGAGACCCAGACAGGTTAAGAAATTGCCCAGAATCTCACAGTACAAGCTGGCAGAAAGCGGGAGATATTCTGCACAGCTGGTGTACAGCTGGTTGCCACAGCAATGGGTAGATTTAAAAGGTGGACCTGGGCAATGAGAAAGAGTGAAATCTGGCCAAGTGTAGCAACATGGATGGACCTTGAGGGTGTTATGCTGAGCGAAATAAGTCAGGCAGAGAAGGACAAATATCATACGTTTGCACGTATAGGAGGATTAGGAGGAATTTAATGGAGGACCGTGGGGGAGAAGAAGGGGGGAAATGGTGGGGGAAAGGGAGGGAGGCAAACCATGAGAGACTCTTGAATGTTGGGAACAAACTGAGGACTGATGGATGTGGGGGGGAGGGAGGAGATGGGCATGGAGGGGGGCACTTGTGGGGATGAGCCCTGGGTGTTATATGGAAACCAACTTGACAATAAACTATTTGTAAAATAAATAAATAAAAAAAATCAAATCAAAACAAAACAAAACAAAACAAAAAAGGTGGGCCTGGGGTATGTGAAGTGGGGCATAAGAGATTTCCAACCCACTTAGGAACCTTCCCAGGATGCCCAGATGCCTTGTGAGTCAGACTGGTCCTGCCGTTGGGCCGACCACATACTGTCATGCTTTGTGGTTTTTCTAGGTCCTTGAGAATTAGAAAATGTCTCTTTGTGGGACTTTAAGATATTACTTTGAGACGGGGGAGAGGGGAGACACCTAGGGACCCTGTCTCCCTCTGATACCTCTTCCCCCTCTGCTGTGCTTGGGCTGACTTGTTGGAAAGAACCTGTACTTCTGTCTCTACTGACTATAGATACAGATGGATTGTCTTCAGACATTTGGAACATAAATTAACATTTCCTTGAACACATGTCTGCATCTGGCAATGACTCAGAGATGTCCAAATCAACAAGGAAGACTAAGAAGATGTCAAGTCAGTTTGAGGAGGGCTAGTAAGGGTTTACCATAATAAAGGAACAGAAAGAGCTAGCTGGTCATTGATCATTGCTCTAATTTTGGGTGGCCATGGTGGAGGCAGGGCAGTGAGTCCCATGGAACTCTGCTTCTGTACATTTCTGGCTGAATGACAGTAACTCTGAGCCTGTCTCCTCTGTCTGTGAGGGTGACAGTGCCCTAGCAGACCTGAAAGTGCTTCGTAAACAGGTATGCGTGGTGGTGGGAGAATGGGGCATGATCATAACC